CTGAGATCACACACCTGGTTTCAGGACTTAATGAAGCTCAGGCTCTTGATGTCTCATTGCAGAAAGAATTCGGTGAGAGACAAAGTGATAGGTAAGAAGTGGATTTATCTAGATAGAAACACACTCCACAGACAGAGTGTGGGCCACCTCAGAAGGTGAGAAAGGCACCAGGGTATGGGGTTTTCAGTTTTCATAGGGATGGGTAATCTCATAGGCTAATGAGTGAGAAGAGTATTCCAGCTATTTTGGGAAGAGGTGGGCATTTCCAGGAATTGGGCCACCGCCCACTCTTTGATCAAGGTTGGTCTTGGAACTGTCATGGTGCCTGTGGGTCATTTAGTGTGCTGATGTGTTACAGTGAGGTATACTGAGGCTCAAGATCTAGTGGAAGTTGACTTGTCTGCCATCTTGGACCCATTTGGTTCTCATCAGTTTATGTCATGTCCTTGGGCTATGTCACTCTTTCAATGCCCTGCCCCCTTCCCTCCTGTTTCAGTTTTGATTTGCATTTGCTAATGATATTGAGCATCTTTTCATGTACTTATTGGCTATCTGCAAATCTTCTTTGGAGAAATGTCTATAGATTTTTTGCCCAATTTTAAATTGGATTATTTGGGATTTTATGGGTTCATGTTTACTCTGTTACTATACTATAAATCCCTTGAAGGCAGTGATTGTATTTCAACAAAATCATAAACTTTGGAGTCATATTCTACTATGCTGGTATCCAGCCCCTTCATAACTGTGATGTGGCAAGTTAATTTTTCCACACCTCAGTTTTCTTGTCTGTAAAATGGGGATAATACCTTACAGAATGAGTATGAGAATTAAATAAAATAATGACTACAAAGCCTCTAGGACAGTGCCTGGCACTGAGAAAACACTCAATAAATGTTAGCCATTATTTTTGGATATACATCTTTAATGCATAGTTCAGCTTCTTACACATAAGACGTGCTCAATAAGTATTTACAAATGAATAAATTGGGGACTAGAAGTATTTTAGCTTGTTTATAGTTGTTGTTATGACCAGCTATCTATGAAAAGGTAAAACAACCCAATTATGGAACATAGGCTGAACAAGTGGATAAAATTTAAAAGATGTATATACACTACCAAATGTAAAATAGATAGCTAGTGGGAAGCAGCTGCATAGCACAGGGAGATTAGCTCTGTGCTTTGTGACCACCTAGAGGGGTGGGATAGGGAGGATGGGATGGAGACGCAAGAGGGAGGAGATATGGGGATATATGTATATGTATAGCTGATTCACTTTGTTATACAGTGGAAACTAACACACCATTGTAAAGCAATTATACTCCAATAAAGATGTTAAAAATAAATAAAAGATGCATAGCTACTCAAATTCCCAAAACAATCACCAAGGAAAACACCTCAACTGGTGTGAGAAAACCCCTACATGAAGTGAATTCACTGGAAGTAGTCATGAGGATGCTTTTATATCTCTCACTGAAAGACACCCAGATCCAAAAATGTCATGTCATTGTTTGAATCTTCAAAATAAAGAGAGCCCATACTTCAGTAAAGACTCATTTGGGGAAAGCTATTGAGGAAAGCTTAATCTACCAATTAATACTGATCTGTCAATTCTATAGCAAGAATACACTGAAGCAGAGGAAGGAACCTGCTAATAACCAAACTGTAGACCTTAAATTTCAAAACTGTCTGCAGGTTCACTCTAGGCTCCTGTAAACATAGAGGCGGACTCCTCCTCATGATGGATTGAAAGATTACAGCTCCCTCTGCCTTCAATGCTGCCTGGAACAGAGAGTAACTGTTGTTTGATATTTGGACTACAGCTGGTAGGAAGATGGCAGAACTTTAAACCATCCCAGGCCAGACTGGATAAGCCACTCTGAGAGTGACTCAGCAATAGTAATAATCCAAAACCCTGCATGCCAGGCTAAGCAATTGTCCTTCATCTGATAATGAAGAGACATGGGGTTAGGAGAGGTAGGAGAAAGATGGCTTGAAATAATAAAAGCAGTGCTTCATCAGAGGTAGCTGGAATGGAGGTAGGAGTCCAGTTTAGGAGGGATGAGGTCTTGATATATAACTTGAAGATAGACAGGGTAATAGGCATAAATCTTGGATGTCAAGACCAAGGGCAAGGAGAGTTCACACCAACCTCTCAAATTCTAATCCCCCAAACACTGCCTGGCCCAGAACAGAAAGCCACGGTTTATGCAGTAAATTGTGCCATCATAGTAAAGGTTGTTCTCAACTTCGTTCATCTTTACCCTGATCATGATCTAAAAAGGGGGAGAGGGTAATAGTTATAACAATAACTGCTATTACTATTATTGCTAATAATAGTCACTACTTACCGATTATTTACTTCATGCTACATACATACTAAGCTAAACTCTTTAGATTTAACCCATATAATGACCCCACAAAACAGACAATAATCAGATAATGAGATCAAGGCTTAAAGAGATTAAGTAACAAAATCAAGATTAAATAAGAGAAACTTGATTTCCAGAGGTGGGATTTGAAACCTATATCTGATAAAAGCCAAAGCCCACACTTTATATACTTAGTACACTGCCTCCTGGCTAGTATGGTTTATGAAAGGATTCTTCACTCAGCTTATTCTTGTTTCTTCTGCAGTCAGTTGGACAATAGTGGCCATCCTAGTCAGGTATACCAAAGCCTATTCATGCATTTATTTTCTTCACTTACTATTTACTGAGTGTCTACTATGCCTCAGGGGTGGTGCCAAGGTAAATAGACACAGCTCCTGCCCTCAGGAAACCTGGACAGGGTGGCTGAAGGAGGACCTGCTCTTCATTTGGTCTCCCTTTTTTTCAGTAACACTCTAGTCAGGAGACTTATCCTGAAACAGTCAATTTGACCCAAAAGTGACTCAATGGTGAAGTTTTGATAAGTGTGCAAGTATGCCATGTTTCTTCCCAACTCCCTGTAATCCATCTCCCTTTCCCTAGATAACTCATCATGTCTCCTTTTCCCTTTACACTTTCTGGTGCCCCAACTGCATCCATCACTGTGAAGGTTCACAAGCCACCAAAGCTCCTTCACCTCCCAGGGAGTTTTCAAAACTCTCCAAGCTCACTGGACAGTTTCAAGGCCCACTGTAGTGTTGAGGGATGCTGCTTTATTTAGACCCACCTGGCTTCAACAAAGAGATGCACCCATGGTAGCTGAGATAGAGAGGGTTCTTATAATGAGCAATTGGGGGGGGGGAATCCTCCCATCACTCTCAACATATCTCCAAAACTTTCTACCAGGTAGCTTTATTCTCTAATACTGAGACTATTTCTATCTCTTCCCCCTTAATTTCACCAATTTGTGACCTTAACTCTTTTTCTGAATCATATTTGAATTATGTTTTCTCATTTTACATTACATTCCCGTCAATTTATTTTTATCACAGACACATACACATTTTTAAAAGCATAAAACTGGGGCTTCCCTGGTGGCGCAGTGGTTGAGAGTCCGCCTGCCGATGCAGGGGACGCGGGTTCGTGCCCCGATCCGCGAAGATCCCACATGCCGCGGAGCGGCTGGGCCCGTGAGCCATGGCCGCTGAGCCTGCGCGTCTGGAGCCTGTGCTCCGCAACGGGAGAGGCCACAACAGTGAGAGGCCCGCGTACCGCAAAAAAAAAGCATAAAACTGTATTACTTTACACATTTGCAATTTTCACATATTAGTTTCCTGCCAGAATGTAATCTTGATCCAAAATAAGGAAGGTCTCATTTTTAAAAGGGCCCTTTCAAAACAGGCTTCAAATTCAGGACACTCCAGCGGTTTTAAAAACATTCCATCCCTGGTTTAAACTCACAATGTGTAACTTCCCACAGCTATAACTCAATCAGAAATTAAGGTGAAGTTTGGCAGGGGGTGGGGGGCGGTAAGAAGCATAAAGTTTCTCACACTAACTGGAAAGAAAAAAGTTCCTTTATCCTCCTTTTTAGGAAGAAAGCAATTTAATGGCATCGGTTATACACAAACTTTTAACGTTTTTGTGCATGACTTTGTAAAAAATACGCTGAATATTTTCATTTCTATTAATGACTTTTCAAAATTATAAAAAGTAATTTCAGAAAAGACTGAATTTAGGGCAAGGCAAAAAATATGTTAATTAGAAGTACTGAGTTAAAGCCAGAGTGTGGATTTTCCCAGTTACATTGTAGTTTTAACCTGAACTAAAATCTCAATGCTTTCTGCCTTCTTAAACTGATCAATTAATCTGAGCTATCTCAAATTAACGAAAACTTCTCCATGGCCCCCAAATTCATTTCTAGCCACTAAAACAAACCAAAAAACCACAGAAGTGCTTCTACAGCTAAAATGGCGAAACGTCCTTATTTGACACCTCCTTTTAAAACGGTTTTTTTAAAAAATGCTGTAGGGCAAGCAGGGCAACGATTATCCATATTTTATGGATGGAGAAACTGAAATCAAATCCCATATCCGAGGAAACAAGGCTATTTAACAGCTGAACCCGAGGTAAGATCCAAGAGTTCTGATTTCTAGTACAGCTGCCTTCGCACTTCAAAGTCGGCTTGGTTAATCCCGGGACTTGAAATTCCTGGGGCTTGCTGTCATGGAGCTGAATCACCACTAAATTCCTGTGTTCTTGCTTAATCCCTCAGACCAGGGGCCCCACTCCTAAACTGGAAACCAAGAGGGCGGGGCACCGTGACGCGCGAATCCTCAACGCCAAAGAGCAAAACTGTCCTCGGGCTGTTTACCGAGGCGGTCCTGGACTCCGGGGACAGGTCACCAGACTCCAGGGACCATAAGCCGCGACTGCCCAAACCCTGCCGCGTTCAGAGAGTAACTGGGGGCCGCCTGGTCTCCGCCCCCGCCGGCAAGCCGGGTCCGCGCCGCGGGCCGCGTGAAGCGAAGCCCAGCCCCCGAGCAGCGCAGCCCGGCCCCCGAGCGGCGCGCGCACCCCGCCGCCTCGCGTCGCGTGACTCGGCGGGGGCGCGCGGGTTTAGCGCGCGCGCGTCCGCCCGCCCGCGCCACTTCCGACGCAGCGCTTGGTTCAGGTTCCGGGGCGCCGCGGAGCTCCCGGCCTGTGGGTAGCGCGGGGCGCTCTGTGGCGGCCGGGATGGAGGAGGCCGGAGCGGTGGTGGCCACGGCCGGGGAGTCCGAACTGAACTTGTCCCGCCTCAGCGTGTCCCCCGAGACCCTGGAGTCGGAGCTGGAGGCGCGGGGCGAGGAGCGGCGCGGCGCGCGGGAGGCGCTGCTGCGGCTGCTGCTGCCGCACAACCGTCTGGTGTCGCTGCCGCGGGCGCTGGGCAGCGGCTTTCCGCACCTCCAGCTGTTGGACGTGAGCGGCAACGCGTTGACCGCGTTGGGGCCGGAGCTGCTGGCGCTGCGCGGCCTGCGCACGCTGCTGGCCAAGAACAACCGGCTCGGCGGGCCCGGCTCGCTGCCCAAGGGCCTGGCCCAGTCGCCGCTCTGCCGCAGCCTCCACGTGCTCAACCTTAGCGGGAACTGCTTCCAAGAGGTTCCAGCCTCGCTGCTGGACCTGCGCGCGCTGCACACCCTCAGCCTCGGTGGCAACCAGCTTCAGAACATCCCAGCCGAGATCGAGAACTTGAGGAGGTGAGCGGGTGCCTGCCTGAGAGTAGGGAGGCCCGGGGCGGTGTCCGGGAGTCCTGGGGCCCCGCGCCAGGTCTTGGGGCGCCGTTCGGTTGTCACGTACCTGTCTTAGTCTAGGCTCTTCTTCAACTCTTTGGCTGTGAGTATTGCCCTGCCAACTCAGGGAGTTGTAGTGAAGATCTAATAAGATCGTGGTCGTGACAGCATTTGGTTTGTTGTGTTTGCCCTGTGCAGATCTTCCAGGCAGTTTTTCTGTCGTCTCCTGGGGTCTGGGGGAGTGATCCCAACTGAGTACATACTCAAACAAATGTAAATCTGAGGTTGCCTCTTGCAACATTGCTCCGAAGGTTCCTTCCTTGCTCCGAAGTCTTGGGTGGTTTTCCATGCCTGTAGATCAAATTTATGTCTTGTAGCGTGACAGACAAGGTACTCCGATCTGATCCTTGCTTTCCACTACATTTCCTGCTCCATCTTTTCTGTAGCGATACCAGCAAAACTATTTATGGAATTCACTGAGCTGTGCACTTTACCGGCACCTTGTAAGCACTGACTAAATATGTGTTGAATGGATACAGTGCCTCTGTGTTGCTGTTACCTTTGTCTGGAATGTTGCTTGCATCTGGCAAACTCGTGTTCATCCTTCAAAACCTGTTTTGAGGGTCATTTCTTTGTTTCCTTTCTTTACTGCTTCTTGGACAACAGTTAATTATTGTCTAAACTGTACTTCTTCTGTACCTCATTCACTCTGCCATTGCACTTATTGATTATAATTATTGCCTACAGATCTGCCTCATCTACTAGATTGTTCGGTAAATATATGTTGAATTAAATGGAAGAAGGAAGCAGAGAAGCAGGGTAACAAAAGTCCCCTAAAGGTGCCCTGCAGGGGAGTGAGAAATAAAATAAGAGCAAGTGTATTGTCCAAAGTGAAAAAAAAGAATCTTCTATCTGTAAAATATTTTCACATCCTTTCTTGAATTTTCTGAGATAACAGAATATTAGAGCTGAAAGGGACCTCAGAGTTAAGTGTAGTGAAAAGAACATTGACCTGAGAATAAGAGCAAAGGAAACCATAAGCAAGACAAAAAGACAACCCTCAGAATGGGAGAAAATATTTGCAAATGAAGCAACTGACAAAGGATTAATCTCCAAAATTTACAAGCAGCTTATGCAGCTCAATATCAAAAAAACAAACAACCCAATCAAAAAATGGGCAGAAGACCTAAATAGACATTTCTCCAAAGAAGATATACAGACTGCCAACAAACACATGAAAGAATGCTCAACATCATTAATCATTAGAGAAATGCAAATCAAAACTACCATGAGATATCATCTCACACAGGTCAGAATGGCCATCATCAAAAAATCTACAAACAGTAAATGCTGGAGAGGGTGTGGAGAAAAGGGAACCCTCTTGCACTGTTGGTGGGAATGTAAATTGATACAGCCACTATGGAGAACAGTATGGAGGTTCCTTAAAAAACTAAAAATAGAACTACCGTACGACCCAGCATTCCCACTACTGGGCGTATACCCTGAGAAAACCATAATTCAAAGAGAGTCATGTACCAAAATGTTCATTGCAGCTCTGTTTACAATAGCCAGGACATGGAAGCAACCTAAGTGTCCATCAACATATAAATGGATAAAGAAGATGTGGCACATATATACAATGGAATATTACTCAGCCATAAAAAGAAACGAATTGAGTTATTTGTAATGAGGTGGATGGACCTAGAGTCTGTCATACAGAGTGAAGTAAGTTAGAAAGAGAAAACAAATACTGTATGCTAACCCATATATATGGAATCTAAAAAAAAAAAAAAAAAAAGGTCTTGAAGAACCTAGGGGCAAGATGGGAATAAAGACACAGACCTACTAGAGAATGGACTTGAGGATATGGGGAGGGGAAGGGTAAGCTGTGACAAAGTGAGAGAGTGGCATGGACATATATACACTACCAGATGTAAAATAGATAGCAAGTGGGAAGCAGCCACATAGCACAGGGAGATCAGCTCCGTGCTTTGTGACCACCTAGAGGGGTGGGATAGGGAGGGTGGGAGGGAGGGAGACACAAGAGGGAAGAGATATGGGAACATATGTATATGTATAACTGATTCACTTTGTTATAAAGCAGAAACTAACATACCATTTTAAAGCAATTATACTCCAATAAAGATGTTAAAAGAAAAAGTAATGAGCCTAAATCTATGCTTGACATGTAATAAGCACTAAATAAATGTTTATTATTGTTAAAAAAAAAAAAAAAAAGAACTCTTGGTGTCCCAGCCTTATGCAAGTCACTTTAACATATCCTGACTACAACTTCCTAATCAGCTAAATGAGGCATTTGGACAAGATGTCCCTTTGTTTACTCACCAACAGATTTTTATTGAGTACCTACCCAGTGTCAGGCACTGTCCTAGGTGCTGGGGTGGGGATACAGTGGTGAACAGGATCCTTCCCTCATGGAGCATTCTAACAGAGGAGACATTAAACACCTGTTAACTTCATTATTTAATTACAGTTGTTATAAGTTCTGTGAAGAAGTACAGAGTGCCTTGAAACAAAGTAACTTAGTTTGGTCTTTGAGCAAGTAACATTTGAATTGAGCTTTTAAAGGAAGAGTAAGAATTAACCAGGAGAGGGTGGGATGGGATCAGTCCAGATTGAAGGAACAGCATGCATGAAAACCCAGAAAGAAGGACTGAAGGCCAAAATTTTGAAAGGAGGACATTGTACTAGAGCATAGTGAAGAAGTGACCAACAGGGAAAGTGGCAAATATAAATTTGGACCAGATCCCAGGCCATGTCATATCTTGAAGGCCATGGTAAAGCTTGAATTTTATTCTAAGTACGCATGGAAGAGTTTTTAAAAAGCACATCTGTCTTGTTGCTGTGCAAGAATGGAGCGGGGAGCAGGTGGAGAGATGAGAAGACATTTTGAAGGCTGGATGGAAGGAGGCTATTCTAGTAGAATGAGAGATGATGGTAGCTTATACCAGGGTGATGCTAGGAGAGATAGTAAGAAATACTGATAGAAGGGTTGGAGAGAGATTTAGATGTAAAATTGTCAAGCCTTAGTTCCTTCTAATTTTGATGTTAATTCCAGCATTCTCATTGGAATTTTTTTAATGTACTAAGAAAAACTTAGAGCAAATATTACCATCACATGGGTAGAAAGGTAGGCAAAAATCCCATTTATTGAATCCTTACAATGCAGTAAGCCCTGTGGTAGGTCCTCTAAATATGCTTTTTAATTTTCACAATGACTCTGTGGCATGAGAAGAAGAAACTGAAGCCCTAAGAGGTAAAGTCTTAAGATCACAAAGCCAATGAGTGGTAGAACTGGATTTGACCTTTGGATCAAACTGGATCTCTGACTTCAAACCCATGAATTTTCCACAGTGACAGAGTAAGGGCTAGAACCTAATTCTTCTGACTTCTGTTCTGTTGAATATGTGATCAGGAGGATTGGCTAAAGCCATTTTCCTGATTGACCTGATTTTCTGGGCTGTTTACTGTGGTTTTTGGACATTGTACCTTTGTCTCCAATTGTATGTAGGCTCTTTTATGTCATTGTTTTCATTCTTCAGTTGTCTGCTGTATTTCTCTTTACTGATAAGAATCAGTAAAGGTTTAGGTTATATGCTCCAAATATAAACTCTAGTTGAATGTAGGCTGAAAGGGTCATGTAGGAATATACTCTTAGAAGTAGAGACAGCCTAGGCAATTGGCCTGAGTCACCCCCTTCTTTTTACAGATGAAGAAACTGAGATTTAGTATCAGTGACTTGCTTGAGGCCAGACAACGACAGGGAGATTCATGTGCTTCAACCCTCAAAGGCTGCTTACTACTTACTACTTACTACTAAAATAATACATTAAAGCTTCAAAAATGTAGAGGTAGAGGTTCAGTTACTCAAACCCTAGGGTACCTGCCCAGGAACACCATCTTCTCTTAGAATATACGTGGACTCCCTAGACCTCATTGGTAACATTGATGTATATTGTTTACTATGCCATGTTGCTTTTAAAACCAAGTGAGGTGTTTCTGGGCATTTGGAATCTATCTACCCTCTTTAACGGAAGTTTAAAAAATAATGCAGAGTATATAATCCATATAGAGGTCCCCTTTCTCCCCACCCTCCATCCTTCCAGGAGGGAATAACAAATAAATACTCCTAGCTTAATTGGTGTATTTGATCCTCCAGATTTAGCAGGGTATTTTCATGTATATTTTCTGTATTCTGTTGATCCTTTTCCCTGGTGATAAAATTTTTGAAAAGTGGTTTTTGAAAGATGATTTTAAAGTATAACAAATAAGTAGATGGTGAAAATCTTATTTTTATGATTAACTTCATTCCCCTGGAGTAAATTAGGCTCAGTGTGAATCATGAGGTTGTGGGTGTAGATTCTTTCCATCAAAATATGAGGTTCTTCTTCAACAAGTAGGTATAATAACTTGCTAGTAGATGGACAAACTTGGTTTTGTCTTACAGTGTTGGAAAAGTAGGTGTAATTCATATTTTGACCTGTTTCTTTTTCTGAACTCTTAACTTTTATTCCTCTCAACTAGCTCAGACATTAACTGAGGAAGAGCTTAATAACTTATCACCCAACGGGTAATAGACTTTGTTAAAGAAAACAAAAGCTCCAGGATTCTTTGGCATCCAGGATGCTAGACACTGGGAGAGTAGGTTTGAGCACAAGTGAGTTTAGTTGGCTCCATTCCCCACAGTCTTTTCTTCTCAGGTAAGAAAAGATTTCCTTCCTTTTTCTGTTCATGATGCCTCTTTCACTGTCTGCCTGATGTGGTTTTAGAAATAAAAGATATGAGAATTGTGATGGAAATAAAAGCTAAATATTAATGTCCTGGACTGTTTTGAAGCTAGTGTGCAATAGGTTGATATCTTACAAAAGAGACGACCTAACCAGATGATAAATAGAATGCAGCAGTAAAGTTTAAATAAAAACTCTTTTCCCCATTTAGAGTCATAT